AAATATTGCACTGTTTCTCTGTTGTGAGAAACCTTAAGGAGGATAAAATGGAAATGAAGCTTTGTAAATAAGGAGGGGAAGAGGGGTTAGAGGGGGGAGAGGATTAGAAAAAAAGAGGACTCAAAATATATCAAATACAGATACAAATTCCCTATGATGAATGTGATCATTTTATATATATATATATATCCCATAAACTTAATTAAAAATTTTAATGTTGACTAATCCCTCCAATTACAAGGTCATAGAGACTGTCCTAATAGTTTTAGCACCACAGCTGCTCTGGTTCTTGGCCTGCTGCACACCTGTAGGAGGTGCCATGTGTGCTTCAAGATACAAAGCAATTCTGAGCTCTGACTGCACAAACACATTCAGCTCTCCACCCAAGTTAAGAGACAGACCAATGACTCAAGTACATCTCATATAAGGCAGGCTCCAAATTCTCTGGAAGCTCTTCTCTCTTTTTGCTCATTTGAGAAGATTCTAATCATTCCTACCACATCTCTGCTGGTTCTTTCAAGTCCATATACCGCCATTTACCTAGAGGCTCCAAGTACCTATAACCCTCCTACAATGGATAGAAAACAATCCATCCCTGCTGTTATCATGACAAAAAACCCTTATCTTATCTCACTAGTAGAAGAGTTCAGTCAAACCAAATATTTAAAAGGCATTAACTGCACTTTATCCATCCCCAGAGACAACTGAGCTGCAGAAAGCCAGTTTAGTACTTGGAAAACAGAAGCAAAACTCTCAACCCCTTCATCCATCCATGCCACTTTTCTGGGTTAATCCTGTATTGTCATCACTGGACCTAGAGCTATCGGTGTCCAGAAAAAGTGTTTGAGGATGTTAGCAAAGAATGAGGACTAAGGAGACTGGGGGAGAGGAAGGTTTCTTCAGACATTTCCATGTAGCAGGGTGTGTGACTGCCTTTTTGTTAAGGAAGGGTGCTCTTGCACAAGGCAAAGAAAACAAATCCACAGAAGGCTTGTCTTCCACTCTGCAGGTGGCTGTGTGTGCAACTACATGGTCAGCAGTCACATTTACCATACATACACAGACCCCCTTCCTTTGCCCACTCCTCAGTCTGCTCTGGGGTGATCTTTACTCCTGGAGCATATCTACAAACTGGTCATGAGGACAGGAGTAGGCTTCTCCCTGAGCCTTGACTGCTTCCCCAATCAAATAGAATTTGCAAAGCCATTAATCCATTGGAACTGAAATCCCATGAAACTGATAAAGGCTTTTTCCACATTTTCCCAGAAGTTTTAAGAAGACAGCCCAGCAGTGCAAATGGTCCTCTCCCTCCCTCACCTGCCTCAGCATCCCTGGGCGATGATAGATGAAGATGCGATGCCGTAAGTCTCTTAGAAATAAGGTAGCTTGGAAGGCAGGCCACTGCGGGGTGCTGAGAGAAGCATTCTGAGAGTACTTCTCATGGTGCTTCATAAACACCAGAGTTCCACAACACACTGAGCCCCAGCTTTTGGGTCAAGTAACAAAAAAAAAAAAAAAAAAAAACTTGTTGGACTTCGAGCTCCACGTCACCCGACTGAGGAAGTGGCAAGAGCATTTCCTCCATCGCAGGAAGAAAACACAGGCGTAGACGACAAGGGCATCTGTCCCAAAGCTGTGCGACCCAGGAAAAGTAAGAAAGTGTCTTCTGGCCCTTCGCCCCAAAGAAAACATCTCTTCAAATACTTTCTCTACTGCTGACCTAATTCCCCATCGTCCGCAGTGAATTTTACATCTAAAACATGTGTACCGCGGGCCAGTCTGGCTGTAACGAAAGCGAAGTTGAAGGAGTGGGAGGACAAGGCAGGGCTTCTAAGAGTTCCTGGGGCTCGCGTGAAGACGCAGCCTAGCAGACCCACCCGAGGGTTCGGGCTACAGTGGACTCCCGGTGCGGAGCAGGGTCCGCGCGGGGACCCCGGGGCTTCCGTCACACCCGGACTCCTAGGTCAAGTGTCTCCAGTCCACATCAGCGGTCAGCCACCCCTTCTTTGTTTACTTTTCTAGAGTTCATATAGGCCAATGGCTGCCTGGGGCTTGGCCTCTGTACCTCAGAACTTGTAATCCCTGAAAGCAAAGCACTGAACCCAGCTGCCACTGCCTGTCACCGACGCGCTCTAGTGCCCGAATAGACCAGGACAAATTCCTTCTGCGCCTGCGCGCAGAGCAGGAGCGGTGGGCGTGGCCCGGAAGACCGCCTGGGGTGGGGCCTCACTAGGGGTGCTGTCCGGGCCAGGCTCTGGGCGGGGTCAGGGTCCTGGCCGAGGCCTTGCCCGGGGGCGTGTCCAGGGGCGGTGCCGCTGCAGACAAGGGTCACAGCCCAGCCAGCCTGGAAACCCCTGTGGAGCACCCGACTTGGGAGGAGGAGGCTGCGGGCCACCGTGCACAAGTAGGGCACCTGCCCACGCTCAGCGTCTTAGCAGGGATTGGTGGCTCCTCCTCCTCCAAGGACAGTTCTCTGGGCAGGGCTGGCAAGAGTGGCTGGGGTCTCCGTGCGCGGCGCCAAGCTTATCCCCGGGCCTGCGCTAAAGGGAGGCGCCCTAAGGTCTCGGGGTCCAGGGGTGGCCTCTTTCCTGCTGGGGAAGGTGGGAAGACCGGACCCCCACCTTAGGGCCGGCACCAGAGTCCGGGGGCCCGGACTTTCACGGGCCCTAAGGGCCCATCAAGCAGAGGGGACGTCAGACACCCCGGCCCCGCTGCGACATCCTCCCTGCGAGGTCCCCAGCGCCGTGCACCCCTGGCGGTCAGGCACTTCGCTGCCGCGCGCCGGCCTAGGACCGGAGAAGCCGAGGTGAGGGGATGGCGAGGACAGCAAGGGGAGCGGACCTCCTAGGAGCATGGCAGCTGAAGAGTGGGGCAGGCGGGAAGCCCGCCAGGCATTCCTTGTCCTCTGATTGCTGCTTCGGGCGACCCACACTGGATACCCGCGGAAACTGCCCAACCAGGACTTCCGAGAAAGGCCGCTCCGGAGGCAGCCTTCGCCCTTGCAATGGCCACTTCTGCACCATCCCAAGTCCCCGCGGCTGCTGCACTGCACGGGGTCCCCGCGTCAGCAGGGTGATAGCAGCTGCGGGTGGAGCAAGCTGGAGACCTCTGCCTCGACTAGCACCCTGCCCACTCCTACCCTCACTAAAAACTCTGCCCCGTAATCCATTCTTCCGAGATACAAACTGGACAAGAAAGTCTGACAGTTGCAGGGTGGGACCGGTATTCACGTGTCAGACTAGGAATGGGCCAGAAAGGAAAGCATCCCAGGAAAACCTCCCTAACGCACAGCGCTTCTGCTGCTGTGCGCCGGGCTAACAGGGGCTCCCAGCGACTCGGGTGGTGGCGCAAAGAGGGACAAGGGACAGCCGTGCAAGCGGGGGGGGGGCGGGGGTAATCCCATACAGAGTAAGGGGTTGGGGGAAGGATCTCTGTCCTGTCCTCAAAGTGCCCAGGCTGTCCTTGACGGCTGTGTATGTCTCTGGGCATGCCCCCCAACTATTATTGGCCCGGAGCAAGCACGGCCCCCCAACCTCACCGCCACGAAGGAAACACGTGGCCACTGCAGCCGGCCGTAGTGCAAACCCTGGTCAAACGCAGATCTTCTCCTGGCCTGTGCTGGTTGATCAGAGCCTTCGACGCCCAGAACCTACTGACCTTTCTTCTTCCCACCCCGAACTCTAAAGCCTGGGTCAGGGCTCTTCACTCTCTCTTAAGTGGTGGTGTTCTTGCGGACCGGGTGGCAGAGATTGGGGTCTTGCAGGACTAGCAGTGATCTGCGGGCCGGCCTTGACCTAGCAGAGCGCTGCCCCTCATTTGCAGTGGACCTGGGACCACACGGTTTTGAGAGCGATTCCGCAGGAGCTTTGGCCTAGTGGCGCGAATCGGGGCGCAGGATTGGGTGAGGAGCCCCAGTCCTGGGCAGCCTCTCCAGGTCCGTCCAGCAGGGGGCGGCGCGGCCCGAACACGGATTTGGGGCTTCTCCGCGCCGCGCAGCGGAGACCACCGCGCCCGAATCCGATTCCCGGCCGCCGAGCGTTCCGGAGGGGTGAGGATAGGGTCGGCCCTGAAAGTCGAGAGCGTTTTAACTCCCGCAGCCCGGCCGGCTCTGTGCGTCCTGGGGTCCTGCGCGAAGCTGGGGTTTCTGGCCTCACTGCAGGGCGCACAGCCCAGCGGTCGCTGCGGACACCGCGCTCCGGCAGCGAAGCCCGGGTGCGCCCCGCTGCGGAGAGGCGAGGGCGCCACCGCCTGCGCGATCAGTAGTCGGAGCCGGGGAGCCCCGCCCCGCCCCAAGCCCAGAAGCCCCCAGCGGGCCGGCTGTAATTGTGGGAAAGCGAGACGCCCCCGCCAAGGTTCGGCTTGCGGAGGGCGCTCTCCAATTTCGCTCCAGAAGTGTACCCGGCCTCCCAGCGCGCCCGCCTCCCCTCTCCATTCCTTCCGGATTCAGCTGTGGGGAATCTCAGCGGGTGTGGACTGCGGTAGAGACGAGCCGACGAGCCCCAACCTGAGCACTGCGCAGAGGAACTGCTGAGGGAAGGGGGACGCAGGTGTGGGTTTGGGACTTCGAGAGGCTGTGGCGATTGCGATATTTGCAGGTGCGAGCCGGGGTCCCAGGAACTGGATACACAGCTGCTCCGAGGCTCTGTGCAGGCAGGTGATGGCAGAAGCCAGGGTCTGGCAGGAGAGCCACGGGGGAGTGTGGTAGCGAGCTGACTCTGTCCCCTTAGTGCGCCCCGAACAACCTGGCTCGGGAGATGCCAGTGAGCTGACAACGGACTCCAGTTCCTCAGAGGTGAGGAATGGGTAAAGCGAGACCCTGACACCGAAGCGGAGGAGAAAAGTAAGAACGTAAATACAGAGGCGGAGCGACGCAGACAGAGCGTCTCCACCCCTAGCCAGCCTCGCGCGATGGGGCCCTAGTGAGCAGGGGAACCTGCTCCTCCCGAAGGAAGCAGCGACGCCCTGCTGCAGCTCGGAAGGGAAACGACCCATCCTGCAAAGCCTGTAAAATAACTGTTTATTTAATAGTTAAAAAACTCCAGTGATAAATGTCCGTTACCGATGGTCAGCATAAAGTGCCAGTCGCAATACAACGCCCGCCCCGGCCGGCCTACTCGCGGGGCCGCGCGTGGGAGCCGGGAGGCAGAGCCCGGGAAAGGCAGCCCTCGCGCTAGGGTCCCCACGTCCCACTCCGGACCGGAGCCGCCGGCGGGAGGGCTGCGCAGCGGAGCTGGAAGGGCGCTCGAGGCAGGTCCCCGGGCGGGCGGCTGAAGCAGATACAAGGATTACACTTTTGCAGGCTCCGGGTGGAGTGGGGTGGGATGGAGACGCGAAGAGGGGTTGGAAGCTGCCAGGGCGGAACTTCTTTTCCTCTCCTCTCTCCGAAGTCAGTTACAAACTTGTATAGTCAAAGGGGTGGTGGGGGAGAAAGAAGGAGAAGGAAAGGCAAGAAAGAAAACGTATAAAATAACAACTGAAAAAGTAATACTTCTGGGAGAGGCGCCGATGCGGCTCCGCGGAGCTTTCGTTCTTTTCTTAATGCTGTTTCCCTTCCGCCACGTGAGTCCCGCATTTTGGCCAAGAGTTGAGCCGCGTCCTGGGGGAGCCGCCTGAGCACTGGGGTTGGCGCCTGGCGGAGCTCTGGAGCGCCGCGAGCGAGGGACCCAGGGGACACCGTTGGGGTGGGGTAAGGCCCGCGGCGCCCCTCCCGCTGCAGGCAGAGTCGCCTTCAGTGTCGCGTCTCTCTGGAGAAGCGGCAGCGCGGCCCAGGTCTCTGGTGCGCCAGAGGCTCTGTTTAACATTTGATCTTGGAGGTTTTGAGCTCCTTCACCTGTGAGTGTAGCGTCTTGTGGACAGCGAGAGTCCTGGACTGGCAGAATCCTTTTCCGCACTCTTGACATTTGAAAGGCTTCTCTTTGGAGTGAATATATCTGGGGGCAGAAACAGACAGTTAAACTTGGAAAAGGATGCACTGTTACTTACAGTTGCCCAGGGTTCCCTTCTAGTGCTCTAGGGCACTCGCCCTCCAGGCAGAGGTTGCCAGGTTCTGAATGTATGCCTGGCAAACACTGAGCTGCAGATAGAGTAGGGCGAGGAAGGGGACCTCCAGGGATGTTTGATCCCTAAGCAGGTCCGGGCAAGAAACCACCTGCCTTTCTGAGAGCTGGGTGGGCACCACCGTCTTAGAAGGTCTGGGGCAATGCTAGAGATGAATGAAAGGAGCCCACGTTGGATCATCTTGGTCCAAGACTAGGACACTAGCCCATAGGGTGTGTGGCTGCTGAAATTAAAGTAAGGTAAAACTAAACAAAAAACGTTCAGTCTGGGAGATGCCACACTTTCTATCGTCGCAAAAACGTCCCTACAGGACAGCTGCAGAGGTGGAGAAAGGGAGAGGGGGCACAGCCTGTGGAGACCTGATCTGGCTTTAGAGTCCCATTCACCCCACAGTCCTCCACCCTTGCTCCAAAACCTATCCCTGAGCCTCCAGTGGTTTCCTTTGAGACCAGGCAATTCCAGCAAGCTTGGAGGCTTGGAGGAGGATGGTGAGGCCAGAGGTGGCAGCTCTCTTGGGCCACTTGTGTTTCGCACCTGTGATCCCGTAGGTGGTCCTGCCTCCGGAAGGCTTTGTGGCAGATGTCACAGGTGTAGGGCCGCTCATCCGTATGCGTCCGCTCATGGATAAGTAGGTTATAGGACTTGGTGAAGTGGCGGCCACAAAATTTGCAGACAAACTCCTTCTTGGTCTTGGAAGGCAGGCGTCCTCTTGTGGGCTTCTTTTCTGGGGAGAGCTTGGTCACGTCCAGGAGGGCACCCAGCCCACCTGCGGGGGATCCAGGGCCTTCGCCTCGAACAAGCTTGGAAGGATCTTCCTGTGTGGCAGCCAAAGCCAAATTGGCAAAATCAAAGCGGGGCTTGGTCTTGAGTGCTGGGCCGCTGCCTCCAGCAGCGATCTCTGGTTTGGGCTGGATGACCTGAGGGAACCAGGGAAAGGCAGGCAGCTGGAAGCGTGCGTCCACCAGGCTGGACACAGCACCGGGCACTTTGGAGAAAGAGGATCGTGGCAAGTGCATGGCCGGGTAACCCAGCGTCCACTGGTGCAGATGCACAGCGTGCAGCGCACTGAAGCCATACAAGTTGGGCAGGTGGTCCGAGGGCACTGTGGGCAGGCCGTTCACTGCCTGAAGGAAAGAGTAGTTGGTGAGCTGCAGGGACGGGTGGATGGGCACAGGCGCTGGCAAGGTTTTGCTGCCCATTGTAGTAGTTGCAATGGTTCTTGACCTCGATCTGCAAAGAAGAAGAGAAAGGAAGGAGGACAAAAGAAGTTCAGGGTAGGTCTCCTTCCTTCAGAATTCCAGCCCGGCCACACCCTGTCCTCTCCCCAGGGCCCTGCTGGGAGTCTAAGACCCTTGCACAACCCTCCCCATGCTCTCACAAAGCAGATAAGAGCACAGATGCTGAGGAGTCTTCTGGGAGCCCTCTTTGGTTTAAGGGCTTCCCCTACCTGGCCTCTGGCAGAAACACCCAACAGAGAAACCAGTATGAAGTTAAATCCCAAGCAATGCAACTGACTTAAAATGAGGGCCTATTGTGTATGGCCCAGGAGGGAAGGCACAAGCACAAGGCAACTGGTACTGCTAAGAACCAACATCCAGGCAAACCTGGGTCCACACAGAATTACTTTCTTCTGCAAAGATAACAGAATTTGGAAGCACAGTTACACAGTCATGTGCAGATGAACAAAGAAATGCACAGACACATAAACTTGATCCACACATTCTAAAACAGTTGCAAGAAGGTGCAAAGATAAATGGGGCCAGCCAGTGTCTCATTGGACAACAGTGGTTACAGAATGCAAGGGCCATCACAAATGCATGTGCGCGCACACACACACACACACACACACACACACACACACACACATGCACACACCCTCCTGGGTCCTCCTTATTAAGGGCTTCTGGCTAACTTTGGAGCTGGTTCTAGAAGCTGTGGCATCTTCTTCAAAATTCCAACTTTGCCCTACTGCCTTATAGTTAGTGAACCCTGTTGGCACTGCTCTCTCTGCAGCTACTTGCAGACTGATTCTTGAACCCCACCCTTAGGGATCATCTTCATTTTAAGGAGGGAGGGCACTGACATCCACATTCGTTTACTCCTTTAAACATCTGCAGTCACATACACGAGCCCTCAAGTGCCTTCCTTCCCCTACAGGAAAGGGCAGCAGGATTTTTATGCATGTAGAGAACTGGGCCAGTAGGTATATGGACAAGAACACTGCCACCACGCCGCACTGCTGTAGTCTATGCAAGGCCGATGTGCTGGAGCAAGTCAGAGAGAAGCCACAGGGGGTGAGCGGGGGCTGGTATCTCCAAGCCTCTTTTGTGAGGGTCTACAGCTTGTATAGAACAGTTTGGGGTCTGAAAAGACGCCTTTATTCCATGTCTGTCTTAGATATTCCTAACCCAGGTCTATCCAGTGGAGGAGCAAACAGAAAGAAAGAAAGCTGAAAGTAGTAGGGATCCTTGGGAAGCCCAGGTATTAAACCCCTGCCCTGAGCTGGAGCTACTCAGGAAGTCATTATCTAAGCAGGGTCCTAGGACTCCTCCTCCTTTGCCCAGGCTGTCTCCTGATACTGCCATCTTCCTTTAGCCCTATGCCTCTCCTTCTTTCCCTCAGACTTCTCCACTGGAGTAATCCCCTTGCTCTGAGAGGTACCTGCCACTTCACAGTACAGACTCACCCCTCCTAGGCCTAAGGGACCTCTCCTAGTCTCCAGGGACCCCCCTGGCTCCAAGCAAGGCAGTCCAACTCAGCTGTTGTTCTTTCCCCACAGTGAAGCTCTATAAGCCTGGCCTTGTGTGGGGATCCACCCTTGTTCTGGGGAAAGGCTAAGAACATATTGATCTAGAAAAATCCTGCGGCTAGAAGCTGGCAAGAGGGTTGTGGCTTGTGAAGTGGGGATCTGAGGAAAGAGGCATTGCTGGGTGGGAGGTATACAACACCACAGCTGAAAGAGATGAGCCTGCACAGGTTCAGTCACCCAACAGACGAAAATGCTATGACCACTGCCACTATTCAGCCCTCAGGCAGGGGAAGCACAGCTCTGTGCAATCCAGCTTCTGCACTGACAGCCAGGGCGCCACCGACACAGCCTGGGTGCCAGTCTTCTGCAGTGCTCCAAGGGAGAAACCAAGACAGTCCCAGAGGTCTGGGACACTGGAGAAGCAAAGTACAAATTGGGCCAGAGAGAAAGCCCCTTTGGATGGGGGAGGAGGCATAGAAGACTGCCAACTTCAAAGGTCTACGGGGATTTAGGGAGGTGAGTGTTCTTTGATTTGCCTTCTTCTCTCTCCTCCAGGCCATGGAAATCAGATCCTGTTCCCTGGCTCCTGGGCCGCTGGGTAACGCTGGTCTCCGCTTGCAGCGCTAGCAGCTAGGCCTAGGCGAGGCTGTACAGCAGCCGTGGAGGCAGGACTCTGCGGGCAGGCGGGCCCAAGCTTGCTCGGAGCTCGAGTAGGAAAACCCACCAACCTCGCCTGGCCTGCCCTAGCCTCCCCTCAAGCAGAGGAAAGACCCCAGTGGCCTTAGACTTCACAGCGGGGCGGAGAGCGAGATGCTCAAAACTCTCAGGCACCTGGGAGCAACCTTTCCGGGCTATCTGCCCGATCTTATTTCCCCCAACACTCCATTTATTTTCCGCCGAGGCTCAGCCAGTTTCTTATTTTCTGTCACAGCATTCCGAGGCCAGGGCTCCCCAGGTTTCCGCCAAAGACTTTCTGGTGGACAAAATTCGTTGGAAACGTGGCTTTTTACACTAGTACCCAGAATGGGCAGAATGAACGATCGATCCGGTTTCAGGCGGTCAGCTAAGAGAGACGCGGTCTCTCCCTTGCTTCCCCAGTCAGAGAGAATGAGTCCAGGACCCGGCTCCCATTCCCCCGACCTGGGAGCCCAATGCGAAAGCTTTCCATTGATCGATCGCCTCTCCCACACCAGCCACCTATTCCAAGAAGCTCGGCCTCGGCCTTGGGAATTGAGAAGAAGGCCCCGACTGCGCGCGGTGAACGTCAATCGCACTGAGGAGCCCGGGTCCCTACGCGGCGGAGCGCCAATCCCAGGTCTGCAGCTAGCCCTATGCTGGGCATTAATGAAGTGTGCAGAGTCTGTTAAAGTGGTTTATTCGGGGCTAATTGAGCGTGAGTGAGTTAACTGCTTTCATTAATGAGGACTGAACGAACTCCACAGCTTGCGCCTGTAGGAGCCCAGCGGCAGCCGGAATAATCACCCTTGACATCGAATTCCCCGACACGAGTGGTGACTGACAGGCGTCTGCACCCTGTCCGAAAGGACTGACCAGCACTTGGTGCTTTTATTGTGTCCTCCCAACGAAGGAGAGCAAATCGACCCATTAGCGAAATGGCCATCCTGCTGCGTCCTCCGCGACCGGCAGACCAGTCCTCAATCTTAACGAAACCGCAATTACTTCCGGGAGCCTAGGATGGACCAGCTACCCAACCGTCGCTCCCTATCCCCCGCCAGCCCCTCTCCTCCCTGGGAGGCTGTAAACCAGGCAGTCTAGCCTCACTCGAGGTTCTATTCCTGAAAACCAAGGCACAGCTCTAAGCGGCTGAAATTTACACAATTAGTGCAACAAAGAAACTACTTTTCATTCCAGAATGAAGCTACTTTTCATTCCAGGAGCCCACCCTCTACTATTCGAGCTGCTGAAAAAGGACTGGATGTGGGTTTCCACTCTTATCAGAGACATTTCAGGGGAGAAATTAGCTCAGCAGGCAGCCTCTTGCTTCCTTTTAACCTCAGGCTTCCACTTTTCTTCCTGAAGGTTGTGTTAGGGAACCGTCAAGGAGCAAAAGAATCCTTCAGTTCCCATCTCCAACCCAAAGGCACGCGCTGCTTCACCGCGTCCCTCCTCTGCTTGAGGGTCTGGAATTTGGAAGTAGAGCTTGCTCCCTTGCGTGCTTCCCTGCACCTGGACAATCGAGAGTTGAACTCAGACTTTAGGACAAGGAGCAATCATTCTAACAGAATATCAGAGTCGATGTGCAAGGCAGGCGTCCGAAACGCCGGCCGAGCTCCTGAGTCTGCAGCTGACCCTACCTGAGCCCAAGTCCCCAACAGACGAGCGCGCACTGCAGCGCGGCCGGCCGGGATGTGCACCTGTCCGGGGCCAGGGGCGGCGTCGCACGGGCCGCGCACTCCCGGCCCCGCTTTCGCAGCTGAAGCATGAGTTAGGCGCGCGCCTTGCAAAGTTTGTGCCTGGTGAAGCTGCTCAGGTTCCTTACAGGGAAGTCAGCGGACTCTGACTTCCGAGGTCTATGCGCACCTCCACCGGGACTCCGTGCCGCTGGAAGCAGCGGCCCGCCCAGGCCGCCCTCACCCGCTGAGGTCAGGGGCCGAGAACCTGTTCGCGAAGCCTCGGGCCACCGCCCAGCCACCCTGGGCTGCAGCGCTCTCCCTTCCTCACGGTCCCGCAGCCTTTGCTGGTAAGCGGAGTGACCGCAGAAGAAGTGCGCGAGCAGAGCTGGGACAGGGACCCCCGAGTTTACCTCCTTCCGCGGCGGCTCTGGGGCTGACGGTGTCTCTCAGCTCGAGGCCCAGGACCCGAGAAGCCCGCGGTGCTGAAACCCGCAGGCGCCCCCGGCGCTCTGGATCCGGATCGGGACCCACTCCCCGGGCCGCAGGGACCCTGAGCGTCTGGCGCGAGGACCGCCCCAGTCCCCCCTGCCCAGGACGGAGAGCCTGGCTCCCGCTCCTCGCCTTCTGCACCAGAACGGCAGAGAACGCGCTAAGGAGAGGCCAAACTGCGTCTCCCTCATCCCTTTGCACCGAGCCGCCTACTTATTTTAATCCCGCACCCTCCCTCCTCCCTCCGCCGCCCCAGGCTCCCGGATTCCTCCCCTCCCTCCCCTGCCCTCAACCCTGCCGCGCCTGCGCACTGAGACACAAAGTTTCGCTGACCCGGGCTGCAAACTTTGGCAGCTGAGCTCTCTTGGCCCCGGCCTTTCCGACCCAGTCCCCTCCTCTCCGGTTCCCCGCGACCCCCTCTGCGTTTGGGGCCCATAAGGACACGCGTGGTGCGCTGGAGGAAACAGCTCCCAACAGATGAGACTGCACGCTTGGGCTCCGGTTCTTGTGCTCCTAGGATTCAGCCTGTGCCGGGGAAGGTGGCGGAGGGTCGGGGAGCAGTTCTGGGCACCGCGATCCCGGAACAGTCGGTCCGGCTCCCCAGCACTTCTCGCGCAGGCTGTGGCTCTGGGGTGTGCAGCAGCTCCTGGTGTGCTCAGGAAGGACCAGAACCAGGCAGGGCGGGTAGCTCCTGGCGCGGGAGGGCCGGTCGCCCCAGGAGCAATCCAGACATCAGGGTGCCTGCTGCTGACCCCGACCGGGCGGAACTCAGCAGCAAGACCAGAGGTAGAGCTGGGGAAGAGAGTTAAATGTTAGTTTCCCGGGACCCAGAACTCTGGGATTTGACCCCGAAACACAGGCGCACTCTGTAATCACACTTTTATTTTTATTTAAGGCGGGATGGGGCTTTGGAGGGCAGCACAGGCACCCGAGGAAAGCTCCAGGTTGTCGGTTCCAGGCCTCCGGGCCCAGGAATTGGCTCAGGTACAGTTTGAATTCTCCAAGTGGGGCTCTGGCCGAGGAAAAGCCGCCCACTGCCTAGATCTATGCGGAGTACCTCACTGGGGGCTGACCTCCAGCTCACCCCAGCACCATCCTTCCCTGACTCTTTTCCGGAGTATCCACCGAAGGTGCGACACGGGAGGTGCCAGTTTCCAGAGCTTTGGGTAATTCCACGTTCACACCCCTGTCCCAGACCCTGGAATCCGTGGGTCTCCGACACACTGGCACCGTGGCTCTGGGAAGGAGCTTTCTCTCTCCAGCTTGTGCTTGCAAAGCCAGTCTGATTTGCTTGAGGTGAGCAGGGAGCTTGATCCCTAAGCTGGGAGATGTTCTTGAATTCTGCCTCCCCCAAGAGCACACCTGAAAGAGAAGCTCCTTGCGTTCCTGAGACTACAAGGAACCTAACTTCCAGCTGCTAGTGGTTTTTGTTTGACTGAAGAGGAGATTAGATGTTTGCCCAAGAGGCTGTGCTCCCCGCCGCCCCTGCCCCCCAACAGGTTGGTGCAGGAGTAAGAGCTCCGGGTCTGCTGTGCACCTGGGACCTAAGCATCTGCCAGTGTAGGTAACATCCTGGCTAGGTGAGGCCCTTGAGGTAGAAAGAGCCTGAGGTTGCCCCTTCCAGGAGGCTGTTTCTGGGTCAACAAGCTTTAATAGCAGGGGAAAGTGTGAAGGAAAGAAAGGCCAGGCCAGGTACTCCTGGACCTTCTTAACTCCACCTTGGGTGAAAGATTTGTGTTATTAGCTCACACTCCCCAAGTAGCCAGCACCAGACTGGCTTTGCAAGCACAACTTCCATATCAGCTGTGAAAATTTCCCAGAAAAGAGAGACACCATGGGACCTCTCTGGTTGTTGGGACACTTAGGAAGAGTTTCACCCATCTTTCTCTTTCCAAACAGAACCCTTGGTCAACGTTCCAAACACTCCAAGTAGGGTTCAGCAGGAAATCTTGGTTGAGAGTGTCCATATTCCTCAGAGAAGGAAGCTGAAATGGGGTCGTGGGACATCCCTTTGCCAGCTTAGCTGGAAAGCAGATCTGGGTCAACCCTAGAACTCAGCAGATATGAAATGGTGGGAAAGCTGTGTTGGCACCGGTCCTGAAGATCCAAGTATACAGACTGCCTCCCAGCCACCTCTGCCTGGAGTAATCTAAAAAGTAGGTCAATACTGTGCAAAGAGAGTAGGTGGGTGCTGACAAATGTCACTGGCCTGTGCACAGCCCCCCCCCCACTTTTGCTTCAAGATGCTGCTTCCTATGTAGCCCACAGTGGACTACCCTAAAATGCCAGGAAAACAAAATCGAAGACATACTAGGAGCTGAAAAGTCCCCATCCCACTCTCAGTCCCTGAGTGAGTGATCTCCAAACTTTGGCCTCCCTCTCCACTAAAGGCCAACCCAGAACTGTTTCCTTCTGGGTGACATAGGCAGGAAGAAGCCAGGAAGCTAAGGAAACCTCTGCCACTTTGTGCATTTCTCCCCCTACTTCAGAGACACCTGGACTGTGCCACTATGGCTTAGACAAATAGCTGAGAACAAGACCAAGGGCACCTAAAGCCGAGAAGGACACTTCTGAGCAAAGTCACATTCGTTTAAGACCGTGGAAGACATTGCATGTTAAGTTTGGTAAAAGCTGTAGGTAGCCTGGATGCAGCTCTCCCATCCTCCTGGGAGCCCAGCAGAGGCAGCAAAACTCCTGTCTACCACCCATCTTATTGCTGGGACTCACGCTGAAATTGCAGCCAGGGCTCATTTAGAGCCTGCAGGCTGCAGCCCTGGAACAGACCAGTACAAACACGGCTCCTGCTGTCTCTGTCACCCACAGCCTGCCCAGTGGATCCCAGACTTGGCTAGGACAGGCATCCTTGGGAAGGAGCCGCACAGCAAAACACCAGGGCTCCAGATGAGCTTGCAGTGTGTCCTAGCACTGCCAGTCTTGCTGGGATCCCTGAGGGGAGCAATGCTCCAGCTGGCCCTAGCTTTCTGGTGGCAGACGAAGGTGAGACCTGGAAGGTGGGTAAGCTGGGAGCTGTAACAACCTCTGCTTGTCTTTCACCCAACTCCTACTCACAGGGAAAGGAAGACCCCAGCCTGCCTTTGCAGTGCAAACTGAGTGGCTTCCACAAAATTGACTAGAAGGGGGCCTATACTGGTTTGAGCTGTTTGGGATTAAAAATAATAACAATGTATTCCATCTCTGCACTCTCCAGATACAAGAAAACGACTTCATTCTTCTACGTGGAATTTACTTAACATTTGTGAGTTTTTGCTTCCAAAGCAAGCTTCTCTGTAGCCACTTTGTGGATAGACATTTGGGGGTCTACTCATTAAACCCCCCCTTATGAATTTACTTAGCTTGCGCATAACTCGGAAATGCAGGCGTCCCTCTGTATTCATTTAGATGATGGATTGTAATGGCTCAATAGTTCCTCTGGAACCATTCCGGTCAATCAGTTCAAAATACATCTTGAGAGGCAGGCTGAACACCAGAGGCTGGTAACACGACTTCCCTGCGCATTTGTGGGTTAGACCTCTGCGGAGGAACACGCAGTCCAGGGTCCCAGGAGAGCAGATACCCATGGACACAAGCGCCAGTGTTTGTTGTTGTGACGGAGACAGACAAGTTGCAATACCAAAACTGAAAGAGAAAGTGAACTGCCTTTTCTTCAGGCAGTTCCCGTTTAGTAAGTTCTTTGTGAGCATGTAAGTACCGCAAAAATCCTTGCCACCGCAGTAAACGTAACAGTGTACACGGGCATGTAAGTACCTTTCGTTTATGAAGAGCATGTGGGAAACAGGAACACACCCATGTGTTTGCTGAACTGTGATTATACTCTCATCAGTAAAGTGGAATGATAATGACTGTGAGGGTCCAATGTAAAACATGCGCAAAAGGCATGTGGATTTTTACCTTTCGGTGAAAATTTGAGTTAAGAATTATTTTCGGCGTGTACCGATCTGTGCTGGAGGGTCGCCGATCTTTTTCTCTACTCGAGGTGGAAATAAGTACGTACGGACCGACGCAGCTCCTGATCCCCGGGGGTAGGGGTTGGGGTCGTTGGGAGGAACGCATGGCCCGGCGCAGAGGCCTTTCTGGGTCGCGCGTGGTCCACTGCGCGGGGCGCTGGGCGCAGGGCGAGGCTGCGCCCAGATTAGACGCTCGGGACAGGAGCAGGGCCATCCTCGCTAGGCGTTTCCGGACAGCCCAGATCAGTCTGGCTGCGCGGTGGAGGAAACCCGGCCGCAATCCTAAAGAAAACGCGCCCCCTGCTGGCGAGCGAGGGGCATCGCCTGGAAGGTCCTTCGAAGACAACCCACTTTGTTGCATTTTACCTTGGAACATTTATTTCCCTTTAAATTCCTTTCCTCGGGAACAAAATCGACCTTTACTTGTTTAAAACTACGCACACCCCGTGCTTCCAGAGAGCGACCGCAGGAATTGCTGAAATCATCAACTGCGCCTGCACCTACATCTGCCCCTTGGGGTACCGCGCCGCAGATTTGCACCCCACCCACCCACGTATTCCCCGACCTCCCAGGAGGCCGGGGTTGGAAAGTCTGCGCCTGCCCCGACCGGAGGCTCCCTGCCCTTTCCCTCCCAGACCATTTGCTGCTCTCTCTACTTGAAATTTCTGCACACAGTACCTTAGTTGGACCCTTTCTTTTCCTGGTCATCAAAGCTCCAGCTCTCCCTAGAGAGCACCCCGAAAACGGCTCACATCTCCAGCTTGGCTCTGCACTCAGTCAGATCCTCAGCCGCAAAAGACACACCTGCCTCTCTGGCGCTGGGAGTTCAGACTTGATCAGGCTGAAAGTAAGCTTGCTTCAAGCCACATTTCATGGACTAAATTCTTGGAAAAAGTATGATTTTCATCTTCAGGTTCTTCAAGGCAGAGGAGGTCCGCTCTTACTCCTTGGAGCAGAGGCCTGAGAACATCCCCTGGGAAAACAAGCCAGGGAGGAGGGACAGACCCATTCTCTGCCCTGCTCGGGTTGTTGCAGGAAGGCTGCGTTGCTCTGCTGAGAGGCTAAGGTAAGGCCTCCCAGTTCCTCACCCCAAGTTTGCAGGGTGGAAAAAGGCAAAGAGCTCAGACATCTAACCCTCTCCAAGGGATGCAAAGCCCTGTGGTGCACTTTGAAGCATGAGTAACAGTAGGGCTGAGTGGAAGGGGGATGGCCAGGCAGAGAGGCGCCCACCTGTCATCCCAGCACTCAGGCTAGGCAGGGG